CCCACCTGCTGATTGCGTCGAGCATTTGCCACTTCTGACAGGTCTCCTTCAGGATCCTCCTACTCAGAGTCAGAGTCCTTACTCACCATCTTTTGCCAGAGCCTTTCTCCGAACGCCTCATCTGGATCTTGTTTGCCCCGGGCATCAAGCACCGCCTCTGCAGTTGCTACATATGTGATTTTCTTTGTAAGTGAATATACTTGAGCTGAGGGGATAGTTATAAATAGATATAGATATATATATATATATACAGAGGTGTTATAGTTTTCTTCTTGGGGGCTTGACCCTAGGAAACCCCCTTGGAAGTAAAGAAAACCGGAGCTAAAAGACACTCGCACTTGTCACTTGCACGAAAAGACACTTCTTGTTGCTTCCTCTCAAGAAATGCTAATCAATTTTGAAACCAGCTCTGTAGATCCATAAAGAAGCTATCAGCCAACAAAGCTCCGAGCCCCCGCCTTCATTTCGAGAGCTTCTGAATGATCTGGCGTCACCTCGCAACTTTGCACAAATGACAAAGCAAGCAGAACCACTGAGTGGCAAGGACTCGGAACAAGGGTGAGGCGGTGAGGCCCGCGCAACCACAAAAGTCACAGTCAAACTGCATCTCCCAAGCCCACACTTAGAATGCCACCCACCACCCCTTTAGCAAAACAAACCAACGTTGGTTGTGTGCTTATGTCCATATGGGTTGCCTCTGGCTCACGCTTGTTCACTTTGCTGCGAATCAGGCAAGTTCTTCAGCAATTGACACCGTTTCACACAAAGCCTCCAACAAATTGGAATGGACTATACCTACACTTAGAATGCTTCCTATCAAGCTAGCCACAAAAAGAAATATGTATAGATGTCATCAAACAATTTGAATCTGAAAGTTGAATCATCTGGAATCTGACATGAACAAATTTTATATGATGTATGTTAATAACTAATGTCTATATATATATATATATATATGCTATCAGCCAACAAAACTCCAAGCCCGCGCCTTCATTTCAGGAGCTTCTGAATGATTTTGCGTCACCTCACAACTTTGCCAAAAAAAAGGACTCGGAGCAAGGGTGAGGCCCGCACAACCACAGAAGTGACTATGAACCTCCATTTTCCAAACCCACTTAGAATGCCACCCCCCACATTTTTTGACAAACCAAACGGCTTCATACGTCCACATCGGGTCTGTTCGTGTCGCTGCCAATCAGGTAAGTTCTTCAGCAATCGACACCGTTTCACACAACGCCTCTTCAACGTCGCCTCCGACAAATTGGTGTTTGCTACACCTATACTTAGAATGCTTCCTATCAAGCTAGCCACAAAAAACAGTATATACATAGATATAGATGCCATCCAAGAAAGTTGAATCTGAAAGTTGATGAGAAGAAAAGAGCCAAAAGAGCCATTCATATATATATATATGTGAAGAGGGGGGCCCCACAAGGCGCCGCCTGCTGGAACAGATCTGAGCTGGCTTTGATCACATCAGCCTGGGATGTGGAAGTCAGTGAATACTTGAACACTGTGGGAAGTGTGCGCTTCAAAAACCCTTCTAGTTTATGCTCCCAGCAACCGGATCTGCAAAATACATACTCCTCATACCCGTACCACTGGACGGAGTCAAGACATCAAAATGACCAAACATCCTCCCTGGCTCAGCCACCGCATGCTCGAAGGAAAAAAGCAAATGGGCGACTCCACAATCTGCATTTCCACTCTGAAACCAGATTTCATCCGGCAGGCTGTGCGAGTAGTGTTTTGTAAGGACATCATGCGTTGGTTTCCCCATTGATACCCTCACATCGGTGTTGCTACAGGGCGCAACCCACATCAAGTCTTCTAGAGTGAATGCCCCAGAGTTCTGCATCACAGCATGGATGCGGTCCCGCTTCTCGGGAAAGCGTTGCAAAGCCAAATCGCCTGGGACAACAAACACACCACCTAATAAAATGCACGTAGTCCAAACTGAGCCATTTTGTTTTAGAAACTGAGGGTAAAGCAGACCCAGCTGCAAAATGATTTGCTCTCTTGTACCTCTCGATCATTTTGACATGGATGAACCGGATATGCTGCCTGGTTCCTGGATGGCCAGCAGAAGGAAAAAGACAACGCTTAGAACGCAGGCATGACGCTTAAAACTTTGTACCCAAATGTCCTCGGAATGGTCTCGTATAGCGCGAGGTCGCGTGAGGCAGCCAAGGACCTCCATCCGCACCTGCCATCTCCGGCAATGGGCACTTTCCTGTACATCAGCCTCTTGCGTAGAGTCCTCTTCGGCTGCTCACATTGGGGCCCGACAGCCACTCTCGCCAAGGCAGATTGAACTCGTGTTTGTAGGCGTTGGGTGTTGCTCGTAAAAAGATCCTCAAGCCAACACAGGTTCCCAAGGAGGTTCTGCGCTCTGCCCCAGGATGGAAGCTTCCTGACCATTGGCATACCAGGTGCAGATTCGAAAAGGTCCATGTTGCCATACTCACCTTTGTTCACCTCAAGAGAACTGTTGGAGGCTGGGAATTGACGGATGCAACACTTTAAACAATTTGCACTATCCAGCATAGCAGGTGAAACATGGCCACCACTTGGAATGCCTACTCACATACAGTCCAGCCAAGTCACAAACATACAAATTGAGAGTGGGGACTTTCCCAACAGTTGCTCGAGCAACTCTTGAGCCTCAACCTTGTCAGCGCTTGGACCAACAAGAAACCCACATGGTACCAAGCCATCCTGCTGGCATAATCTGGAGATAGACGCATGATCCATCAGACCACGCATTGAATGGGATCGGCTGGCCACTATCTTGCAGCCATTGTTGTTTTTCCCAAGGACAATGCCCACAGTTTCTGGGGACTTGTCTTGCCACGCCTGAAAGGATTGCACGGCGCCCTTAAGAAGCCTGAAAGTTGTATATGACAGCCAAGGTCCTGCTGGCTTGGGTGGTTCCAAAAGCTCGTGAGTAATGACTCTGGCAGTCTCCAAGCACTTCGATTTGGATTCATCCGCTGCCACATCATCAAAGCCCCCAGCAGAACTTGCCGCAAGCTGTTTCCCGATGGCAGCCTTATGTGGCTTTGTCGATTTCAGTTGCAATAAGCAAAACTTTGCATTTCAATAAAGACATATACTATAAATTATACCCAAACATGGCCAGGATGTTATAGTTCATAGAAGCCGTTGCTACACTTAGAATGACGCTCCTCCCATGGTGTAGAAAATGTATAAAGCAGCTAAGTAGCCATCGCACTTTCTCCACAGTCCTTGGACTCGTCTCGGTGTATTTGCAGCAGCCATTTGTGGCACCTAATGCTTGCAGCAAATACCCGTGTGAGAGTTTCTTCCCCACGCTTGAAAGAGACCTCGAAGTCGCGGCCTGATTCTGACAATTTCATTTTTCCAAGGTAGGGTGAACACGCGGATCCAATGATCTCATCCTCCACCTCACCTGAGCAAGGAAATGTCAGCAAAAGGCACCATTTGATTGTTCAATCGCGCACAAATTCGGTATATAAATCCCACGCACCACCTATCTGCTTTCTGGTGATTGAATTAACCAAGTGCCAGACCTATTTGCCCCTCAATGCACGCTTCCAGCAGTTTCTCACGCTGCTTTGCGACTGTCCAGCTCTTCGCAACATTGACCCGCATTTCAGCAAGCCAAATGCTCCTCTCCTATCAGGCAAGGCGAAGCCAAATAATCCCGAGTACCTATTGAACACACTACTCAATAAAGAGAAACTCGTGTCGGAGACCCCTCAACACCGTTTATATACTGTATATATGTTTTTAAACGCCTTCTCAAACTACCTACCTATCCTTCGGTCTGGGAGATTTTTAGTTTTTGATATGAGTTTAACAAAGGATGTTTAATGGAATTGTTCTAGGCGACTTTCCGGTTTTGAAGTTCTTCTCCGGTTTCCATCTTTGTGGATTGGAGTATATATCTATATATAATGATGATTGGGTGTTCACGATCCATATCCAACACCACGCTTGGCTGTCAGCGCCGGCCTTCCCTTTCATGGTATCGAACTTCATCAGAAGGCCATTCGCTGCCTTGCTGAACTGAATGGCCACCGCTCTTGCTGACTCCAACCCATAGTCTGCAAAGGTGAACCTCCGAGTGCTTTTTTCAATCTTCACGGAAAACCTGAGTTTCAAGAAGAATGGCCTTACACTTAGAATGCAATGCATTGTCCACCAAACAAAGGTTTGCGCACTTCTCTTGGATGTAGACCTGAATTTCAAGAAGTGGGGCCTTACACTTAGAATGCCACACATCCTTCTGTCCAACCCCTCAAACTCTTTGCAAGCTTCTTCATTCCAGGCAGCATTGTTTTCAATTGATTCACACCATGGGGAAGGCCTTGGCCAGAAACATCGCAGCCACTGGAAGAGGCAGCTTTCCTGAACATCGCACGCAATTCTTTTACTTTCCATCTCCCAACAGATGCACCAGCACCCCCCTGGCACCTGCTCACTACAGCAACATACAGACTATATAAGTACATAAACATATTCTAAAATGTCTCAAAGGGGCGGGGGCTCAGTCAAAGGAGGTGGCACCGGTGGAAGCCCCTCTGGCTCCTCATCGGATGTCATAGCTCCCGCGTTTGAGCCTTCAAAGTAAGTAAGTTCTGCGGTGCGCAGCCTGATTTTCCACAGCCTTCAGACACCAAATTAGCAAGTTTGATTTTCTCTCTCTCTCTCTACGTATGTGTGCAATGTGGGTTGGTTTAGGCTGAGCCTGAGGTATCTAATGAATGCTGATTTACACGATTTTGCAACTAATTGCACGGATTTCAACCTCGCGCCGGACTGAAACTTTACCCCAAATGGAGGGAGGCATTCTAAGATTGAACTTTCCAAAAAATGTCGAAACCCAAGATGGGCATTCTAAGTTTCAGTCCGGCGCTATACTGTATCTTTATATAATCTTCGTAGACGCTTTCAAGAATGTTCAAATCAGTTCAATGTCCCCTCTTACGAGGCAACGATCCGGGTCTCCCTGCTACGGACGGGGATGATGAGACCCGTGAGGCCGGAGCTCACCAAGTGCATTGACATAATCACCACCTGAGGTGTCCAAATACATTGGACCTTTCTTCCTTTTCCTTTGTTTCTTATAGTGATGGCCTCCAACCTAGAAGCAATGGCTTCCAACCTACTAGCGATGGCCTCCAAATGAAAGTAAGCGCATGCCATATCCATCCTGTTATCTTGGAAGCATGAGTATAGCTCAGTATACAAGGGACACAGGAAGATGCACAAAGAAAGTGGGAACACATTTTTCCATGTAAGTTCACCAACTTTGGCAGCCGCCGAATCGGAAAGAAGAAAGCGAAGGCTGCATTACTGAACTTCTCGTGCCCTATGGATCGTCCAAACACTAAGAAGCTCGCTGCACGGATTGGATAGCTTGTTGCGCTCGATACGATCAGGTGGGCATAGGACACACAGGAAGAATAGCTGAGCCTGTAGTGCGATGATTGGAAGCTCACTCACTCTCCCCTTCTCTCCCCTGCTCTCTCTTGTTTGCCCATCTGGCTTTGCAAGTAATGTGCAATCGTTTAGCTGCCAGGCAAACTAAATAGGGGCAGCCGATGCAGGAATGAGCATTGTATATAATATATCGCTTTTGCACATGATCCAAGACTTTCGATGGGATCAAGAGGTGCTATATAGTCTTTTAAGAAACTGCCTCCTCGGTTCCTCGGTCTGAAGGGCCAGGGAACAAAAACAAAGGCACAGCGGCTGAGAAGGCTGAGAGCCATGCTCTCCTAAGCATCCACGATTTAACACGAGCACACTCATCACACTCATCAAACAACCCGAACTCTGAGGCGGTGGTGCGAGAGCCAACAGGCGGCCCACTTCATCAAATGAAGCGGTGTAAATGTCGGGTGTGCAGGACAGGGTCATCAATTTGAGGGTCAAGAAAGGTGAATCCGGACTGGGAGACTGGGCAGGATCCTGGAGCCTCTAATCTGCATCACAAGCATCCAGTCTGACCAAGGAATATCTGCACTGCTGGGCTCCTAAGTTGGACGTCTCAAGACTGTCACGTTTCCAAACATGTCCCAAGCAGTGCAAAATTGGATGAAAGCATTGAAAACAAACATTGCAATATTGACACAACACATGGTTTGCGCATGTTCCACAGTGCAAACCGCTTCGAACCACATTCCAAACCATCCTAATTATGTGTGAATTTGAGCTTTTGGTTACTTCTTGGGCTGATTCAGTTGCTGAGCGAATGCCAAGCTTCTGGTGTTTTAATCCGCACAGGAGGATTCCAAGGATCCATCACCGCCATGAAGGAGGCACGTTGTCGCCGAAAAACCATCTTCTCTGCGGTGCTCACCTGACCGGAGAAAATGAGAGCAAGAGGAGGTAGGCTGAGGTGTTGCATCAGGTTTTGACATCCCTGAATTGTGCAGGAAAGTACAGGAAAATGCTCCAATGCTCAAGCTTCTTCGAGCCATGAAGATCCATGAATCGAAGCCCTGTCACTGACGATCCCAATCCGCTCGCCTTTCGCACCATATTTCTAGAGGAGACTGGCGACGCCAGCAACGACTCCATCGTCCCCGACATCGACATCAAGGTGCCCAAGTGCGCCGCGGCCTTTTCCAAATTCTTAAGGTTTGTTTCCATCCATGTTCGATAGCGATGCACTTGTTTCTAATAGCTTCTTGTACTACTAGTAAGGCACCTGTTACTAGTAGCGACGCACTGGTTTCTAATAGCTTCTTGTTTCTAATAGTTTTGTTTCCATCCATGTTCGATCTTTTCTGAGCTGGGGGATCCACTGGAGCAAACATGTAGCTCCTGCTTCTTTAAAAAAAATTGCTGTATTACACTTTCCAAAACCGTGCGTGACTGTGGAAACTCTATGCTGAATATTACTATATATGCTTCTAGAACTCTTTGACACGTTTGACATCTGCAATTAGAATCTTTGCGATGCAAAGTCATATTCCTCAGCTTATGACTCTTGTGAGTCGCAATGCCTCAAGAGGCTGCAACAAGATGTATCTCAGAAGTATCCCAAAAATGAGGCGACTGACATGATGGCATGCAAGCACTAATATGCGTCTTCCATACAAACCTTCCTGCCTAGAATCTAAGTGGACGAGATGACCAAACGTGGAGATGTCGTGCAACTAGAAGCACATTCCCGATGATTTATGGACCTTCTGAAGGCACAACAACCAAGGTGATTTCCACAAGACACTGCTTTGCTTGCATTGAAGATTTGAAGGTTTGAACCACGGCAATGATGTAACACGATCTAGTCCATGGTCAAACTTTGGACGTGACCAGCAAAGAAGCACCATTTTAAGTGGTCTGCATTCAAATGGGGTCAGTCAGGGAACGAGCATCTGTGGATGTCATCCATGGATTCGTCTTCGAGCTTGTACATGAAACGAGTGTATCGCCAAATCTTTCACCCTCAACAATAATTATTGCATAACAACTCGCAAGTACTGAATCAGGTTACAATCAACATTGTCAACTATCCATGGAAACAATGCTCTCAGCTGGAACGTTGGAACCTGGTGCTCACCATGGCCTGCTTCTTGACATGACTGTGTCGTAGCTTTGGAAGCAATCGGCAAAGATAGGAAGCAGGAAGAGCACTGTACCGCAGCCTGTACTTCCACAGCCTGTGCCTCTGCTCTGTCAGGTTGATGGGAATGGACGTGAGCCAAAGTAAGATGTAACTCACCGTGACACCCGTCAAACAAAGCTGTCGTCGTCATCGTAGCCGCCTGATGCTTTATATTCAAACATAAAGAATCGCAGCATCCGTAGCATACCGTAAATTCCGAGAAAGAAGCCAACCTCAGCGGTGCTTGAGCGGCAGCCGTGGATGTGTCGCCTAAACCTAAAGCCTTCAGTCAAAGTGATGCCCATGGGGAACTGAAGCCCATGTGCTCCAAGTCACACGGCCCAGGATGGGTGCGAGAGCACTTGTGGTCGAAGCAGGAAGGGCCGCCAAGGCCCAGCTGCCCAAGCCTAGACTTACTGGCACCTGCAGCTTCGGTGCAGGGAGCTCGCTCGGTGAGCCGAGCCATTCTGAGCCTGGAGGGCCTAGTGCCGTGATGCTGAGATCTCTTCATGCTTGCGTGTGCTTCTGTGCACCACTGGCTGCTGCTTAAGATTGGAACCCTCGCTATCAAATCTCACGCACAGTTCATGCTAAATGGTGCCCTTCCTTTGCAGCGCGGACCAGTATACGGTATACAACCATATAATCAGGATACGTGGAACAGAACTTGACAATCTTCGGCGGAAGGAACAAGTCATAGTCACCCCGTGATGGTGGTGATGTTGTAGGTGCTGGGTGGTGTGGCTGCTATTGATTGCTCAGGGAAAGGATCTCGGGAATTTGACAACAGCAGCTGCGGAACACTACCTGTTCCAGCTTGTTGAGGAGCATTTTCTCTGGGAACCCCGTCTGGAACAAATTGAACAACTTCGCAAGGCCTCCGTCACAGGAACAGGGGGAATGTTATCAAGCTTAAACATTAAAACAATATGAGCAAAGGCCACAAATTGTTCGCAACATGCAATGACAATCATATTTGCACTTTTGTTCTGATGATCACACGTTCAATGCAGCAGGTGCGCCAGAACAGCTAGGGTAGGTAGAAGTTCAGATGCCACGTCCACGACAATGCCAACTGTAAAGGATGCAACTCCTGCGACAAAGAAGCTCTGGAAAACCATGCAGGGCTAATCCGATCGACCGTGTGACCCCCCCCAATGCGAAAAGAGTAACCATTCAAGCCTAATGCGACCCTGGAAAAGTCTAGACGATTAATTCCTTTCCAACCTCAAGAAATTCTTGAGAGCCTCAACCAATCAGCTTGAGCAAGACGTAAGTAGTAAAACAAAGTATGCTGCTGAATGCAGCTCACCGAGGCTCACCAAGTAAAATATAATCCAAGATGTTGGAAGTGATGCTGAGACTGGTAGAAGCACATGCTCACTGGCAAGTCACTGAGCTGCAGGAGTTATTCAGTGGTGGCAAAACACACTGATCCACGTGCACACAACACTGAATTGGGGAATGATTGATTGGCAATGCAGTTGAGTGCCACATACGGCTCGACGCAGTCCTACGAGAAGCGCTATGAGGAAGCCGGTCAGAAGGGAGCCAACTGCTTCAACAGAACCATCGGCTCTAGCAGATTGCTCCATACGAATCCTTGGCACTTGGATGTTGACGTTCGTAATTACATTTCAATCAATCTCGTTCTGCAGCTGACGCGGCAGACCTGTTTGACGGGGAACAGAGTCCGAATGTCTGAAACAGGATAGGTTTGAAAGTGTAGTGCGCATTCAGCTGGCATTGTTTTCTCCGCAATTAAGTCCAAATATGTTTCAATTGTCAGATTAATTCTGCCACAAATGTGGCGAAAGCTCTTCAACTGCAATATGTATTGTTCTTCAGTGATCTTCCGTTGTTGCTCATTGAATGATGCCAGCCAAAACTGACAACTGACAGCAAGAAAACGTGTTATGTGGATGCAAGACTCCGCATTGCTCTGTCGGCCATCTCTTGTGAATGTTTCATCTCAATTTCTCCCCATGTATTCAGCCTGATGTACCTGTGAAACTCGACCAAAGAAGACGACGGTAAAGGATCAACTCTGTCACTGTCGATGCATGCCCAACGCATGCCAATGTGTATGTACAGTGTATGTGTGGTGTTGTCACTTGTTCAGAATGCAGAAATTGGCTCTATAGTGAGCAAATCACCACTAAGAGTCACTAAGAAACACCTGGAGTTTGCTCGGTTGACAAGCTTATGATTTTTGGTAAGATTTTGCAATGCAAGAACAGCTCGAATAAGGAGGGTCAGATTGACAATTTGTGTTCCGTAGATCATAGAACAGCTAACCATGTTGACAGGTCGCCAACAGAGTGTTCCTTGTGCTCATCCAAGGGAGGACGGTTGCTGGACATCCATTCTCGTTACCGCTTGAGCTGCCCTGAACAAAACCTATCACCCAACAAACATCCCTGATGACATCTTCCCAAAGTCTCTAGTAGGATCAAGTAGGAGAACCACCCACACAACACACACACACACACTAGTCAAAGGACACACAGCATGCAAACTATTCATTCAAACCTTCAGACAAAAAAATCTCGCAAATGTGTCCACATGTCTACTTTAGATCCCTGTATTCCGGCGATTCTGCAGAACACATTGGCAATCACTAGCAATGACACGCTCCGTAGCAAGCAGTTTATGCTCAGCACCAACAAAAGTCTCTTGAGCAGGCCCAGCTACATGCCCAAAGATACCATAATTGCTGCAAAGAGGAAGACGAGTCCAATCCTGAACAAAAAAAGTTAAAGCGATATGATATATGTTTGGACTGTTTTTCACTCCAACTGCAGTAACCATGCTGCAGGAAGGATGTGAGAAACTGTAACTTTGACTTCTCTAGAGCAAGATAGCCTATGACTCGCCTGTGAGCATCTGTTTGTAGTGTTTTGAGCTAGTATTTAGTGCCACTATGTGCCACTTATATATATATATACTTGGTGCTTCAATGCCAAAAGCCCGGCTGAATGTCTGTCAAGTCACTGGTCAACCACAGGTAAAGTCTCTGTGATACCGAATGCATCATCTTTCAACAGGTACGTCGATGCAAAAGCTGATCCTGCAAACGAAAGGAAAAAGGTCTTCCAGGGAGTCATGTCAGGCAGTCTTGTAATTTCCTTCGCACTCTGCTAACCTGCTAACCTACAAGTAGAACTATTGGGAATGGGCCATCCAGCAAAATGCAAACCATCCCTCCCACCTCATTCAGGGCGTACCCCGGGCTGGAAAAGGAAAATGTCACGGTTCACTGCATCCATCTCTTTTTCACGGTTTCCTTAATAAGGTATGGTCAAGCAATCACCAAATCGCCCCTTCTGTGGCAGGTCTTGCCATGCATGTGGGAGATTTTTCAAAGTGCACTAGCAAGCATTGGGTGTTCAGCAAAAAGGTCTTACGTGCACTTAGCGCCAGCACAATTATAAGCACACTTGCCACCACGTGCACACCACAGTCTCTCTTGATCTTGAATGCCCACCGCCCTACCCACCCTTTGATTGTTTCTCATCGTCTCTCGATAATATTCACTCTTGAGGGGGGTGGTGGATGATATTCAATACTCAACCGACTGAGTCCAAATGCCATCTATCAGAATGATTCAACATCGATCAACACTCCGTCCTGGCTGGAATGCAGATCTCTGCTGCATCCCTTCAAGAACGTTTTAATTGTCTATTTTTTTTAACAGCTTC